TCCAGCACTAGAGAGGAAAACAGCAGAATTCAAGTCCACCGCAGTGCTGCCATACATCAAAGGGGTGGTCTTCAAGTCCGACAGCACACTAAGATCTCGGCTAGTTAGACCAAAAGATCTCGCTCCCAAACAAGCCAGATGGCGCAGTCTACAAGATACCATGCACTCAGAATTCCACGGTTTCAGAACATGCTAACGGAATCGGACACAAGCAGCTGTGGAACGCAGTAAAGTTTATTGACCGAGACAACCATTGGTGCACAAGGAAAGCGGAAGAGGCAGTTCACATAAGACTTAACCCAAACAACATAAACAGGGACAACGGAGCCGAAATACCGGAAACTTCAAAATCGATACTTCGATTTAAGACTGACGCAGTTTTCCACATTGACTTTTTTAAGTGAAGCATAGAGAGCTTATTTTAATGGACTCGACTGCGGCTTGTGCGTTTTCCCAAACAGAATAGCAAAATCGTCCGTGGTAGCAACACACTCAGTGAGGTATATGTGCGGTCTGCCATGGGCATACCAGGCTCTGAGACGGCCCTCGAAGAACTCATGAGCTGAGTGCTCAATGGTCTAATGAAGGAAGGCATCGTGGCCAAAATCGCAAACGACCTGTATTGCGGCAGGAACTCCCCAGATGAACTACTGCTGAACTTGAAAAGAAAAAGTCCTAAAGTCTTACAAGCCCTGCGCAAATAAGATCTTCGCCTTTCCGCATCCAAAACGATCGTCAGCCCTCAGTCCACAACGATACTAATCTGGATATCGAACTCTGGCAGTGTAAGCGCCAGCCCACATCACATCACTACTCTTGCCTCGTGCCCTGAACCTGGCACTGTAGCCCGAATGAGGTCATTCATCAGAGCTTTCAAGGTGCTCTCCTGCGTCATCCCTGGATGTTTTACACTATTCGCAAACCTTGACGACACTATCGCTGGCCGTGAATCTAAACAGACGATTCAGTGGACAGGTGACCTCCATGCGTCATTCCACAAGGCTCAGGTAGCCCTTTCCACCGCTTAAACCATCTCGTTCCCCATTCCGAGTGATTACCTGTGGATTGTTACAGACAGAGCACTCCGCAAACCCAGAATAGGCGCCATGCTTTACGTCACCCGTAATGACTTAAACTGCCGTAATGACAAGTTACGCCTGGCAGATTTTTTAGCGCCAAACTGCGAGGCTCACAATTAACGTGGTTACCATGTGAGATGGAGGTTCTAGTAATCGCCATTGCCACTAAACACTTCAGCCTTTACCTGATACAGTCCATTATAAGGCCTGCATATTGACCGACAGCAAACCTTGCGTACAGGCTTATGAAAAACTTTGCACTGTCTACCGTGAGCCGTTATCAGGCTTCTGTAAGATACGTATCTGGCTCTGCAATACTACCGTCAGATTTCTCCTCCGTGTAAGGATGAAGCCTGCCAGGTCTGTGTATTAACAAGGCTCACGGATTCTGCTATCAGACGCACGTTAATCCAAGACATACTCAGTAGCAATAAGCATCTTCCGTTCACCAGTCGCACTGCCTGGTTGGCCACACAGGCGGTAAGTCCCGATTTACGACGCATGCATATGCATCTACAACAGGGAACGCGTCCTTCGAAAAAGCTCACCAACATGAGAGATGTCAAAAGGTACCTCAATGTTGTAACCATCGCAAAGGTTGGCTTACTCGTTGTTAAGGGAAACGAGCCTCTCGCTCCCACCCGCGAATGCACTGTTGTCCCCCGGCAGGTACTAGAGGGACTCTTAACCGCGTTACCCATTCAGCTCAGTCACCCATTCAGTAATCAACTCAAGGCTGTCACAAAGCGCTATCTATGCCCTGGATATAAACAAGGCCATCGACCAAGTGACTAAAGCTTGCCACCAGTGTGCTGCCTTGCGTAAAACTCCGAAAGTGCGGGAGGAGCGGTCAACCTCCCTTCCACTGGATGCCGTTGGCGTTTCGTTCGCCGCAGACGTTATCAAACCATCGAGACAGCTCGTACTAGTGCTAATTGAATGCTTAACTTCTTTCACGGCCACGACTCTGTTAGAGGATGAGCGACACCACATCCAACGCGACGCTATTATCCGCCTATGTGCCCAACTGCGTCCACTAGATGGACCGTCAGCCGTCGTACGTACTGATCTTGCCCCGGGATTCAGGGCGCTAGCTGAAGATCAATAACTAAAGCATCACAGAATCACCACAGAGGTCGGAAATGCTCAGAATTCTCTATTGGAGAGGGTGGTTCAAGAGACCGAAAACGAGTTTCTCCGACCCGACCCTCTGAAAGGCCCTGTGTCTTTGTGAAACTCGCACTACCCACAGCCAACCTCAACGCGCGCATCCGCTCATGTAGCCCTTCCTCTAGAGAGATGTGGACACAGCCAGATCAATTCTCAAACCAGCAAATACCTCTACATGACCAAAAAATCATCGTTAAGCAGAACGAACATCGTATGGCCGACCACACCCACGGCGAGAAGGCGAAGGCCCCCATCTCGACACCTGCTACTCAAGAGATTCCTGATGTCAACCTGCCTACTGAACGATATGAGCCCTGCGAAGACACCCACCCGGATCCAGTTTTAAACTCCCCCACCACAGACAATGACTCTGATACCTGTCCCTCGCATCGCAGATCCACACGCGTGCAACGCCGTCCCGCACGATATGATGACTTTGTTATGAAGTGTAACTGAGTTATGAACACCATGAACTCTAACTAAGATTTCGACTCCGAGTTATTGACTCCAACTATGTAACCCCCTACTTAATAGAACTCGATTAATTTTCTATATAATTCCTATATCCATTATTGTTAGCTATCTGCATCTAACTTGGTATTTGTCATGTGCCCATGGAGCTCGTCTACTAGTTTATAAGGTTCGAGGGTAAATGAAAAGGAAACCACGCCAGTACGGGACAGTGGTACGCTAGTTATAGGCATGCGTGGCCGCGCGCTTCGTTCTAATCCTTTAGTGTCTAGCCCGCTCGTTCTGTTATCGTCATACCAGTTTCATTAAAGCCTCAGTTGTGTTACGGATCGTGTCATCGATTTACTGCTACTTCATTAACTGGCGTTGAACATTTTTAACTCTTTAACCCTTAAGAGGAGTTAGCAGCCTATTTCTTCTTTCAGTATCGCTAAAGGTTAAAAGGATAATAAAATTGACCTCTTATCGAAGGAGTCTATGACTGATACCCAAATTCTCCTTGTCTGTACTACAGGAAATGTATAGAGAACAGTATGGAGAATATGCTCTCTGGTGATATGGTATAAAAAGTCAAAGAGGGGGTCATATCTGTTTCGGGGGTTAATTCCTCTACTAAAGAAGACTGTTGTTTAAAAATTTTATGGTGGCAATTTATTTCTTTACTCCCTCAGTTATAATGAAGAGAAAATTCACAGTATTGGGAAGATATGAATTTTATTTTTAAGCTAAAAATCTGCATTTTAAACAGGTGGTTTACTAACTCAATTACTGAATTTCCTTAAGCTTATTTGATAACTGTTATTCAAAGTTATTCTCACTCTTTGATACTAGCTGCCTCTGTGTTTTTGGAGTCAGTTCATTACAGGTGTTCTTTAGTACACTGTACCATGTAAATTTTTTTTATTTATTGCTAACTTTAAGTGCTGTTTTGTAATACACCTGTTCCCAGTTCCAAAAAATGTGTGTCATGGTGAGGGTGAAAGAACCTTAAATGTAACGTGCGCAACAACTTACCAATCCACGGCGACCGTAAAGGCCAAAAGATGTTTTGTTGATATAATTTAAAAGCTAATTTTTACGCTAACCTTGAACCCAAAAAGTAAATAACATCTCATTTCTCCTTACTGTTTTCCCCTTGGATTAAACAAAGGTCAAGAGAAGAAAGGAAATGATCACTAACTTCAGAAGCTTAGGGTTAGGGGTAACAGTTTTTCCTGTCAACACTATTGGAAATGTACAAAGAAACGTGGAGATTATGCAAGGTTCTAAAGGGTTAGCCCGTAAATCCTTAACCCTTTAACTCCCATGAGTGACCAAGACAGATTTTCTCCTTACAATATCAACCAGTGATGAGAACTAAGAAAAATATCAATTTAGGGATAATTAGTGGATCCAATACTAAATTCTCTGCACTAACATTATGAGAATTGTATGGTTGACAGTAAGGAGAGTTAAAAATTTGATCTGGGAGTTAAAGGGTTAAACATCTTATGTCTCTTTACCATGTCACTGGTGAATCAAACATTAAGTTCATGAGAATCAAGGAAATGATCACCAATTTCAAAATGTATGGAGAGCTGTATGGAGAATATACATACTGATGTTAGGATATTAGGGGTTAAGGAATTTTAAGCCCAATTTTTACAGGAATAGTAAATGGCGTTTACTTACTTTCTTTGTAACCCATGCCTACTTTACACCCTAATATCAGAACACATATTCTCTATTCTGTACAATTTAAAAGATTCTGACAAGAAGAATTTGTTTGACAATCAAGAGCGTTGATGATTGTTTCATTTATTCTCGTGAATGTGATGCTGCGTCGGTGTGAGAGTATAATGCGGTAATTTGGTATTATCAACTGAGTTGATGATGTAAATTGGCCACAGTAAAGTTTTCGAGCGTTAGCCCTTCGTCATTTGCTTTGACGAAGGGTCAACGCTCGAATCGTCAGCTTTGAAACTCCCAACGGTGGCCAGTTTAGGTTATCAACCGAGTTAATAATACTACATTACCTTGTAATAAAATACTTCCTACGATTACAAAATGCAGCGTTGTTCTCAGTGGAGTCTGAAATGAGACGCATTATAAAACGTTCACTAAAGGCTCCATTAACCTCCCCCTTCCTTTCTTTGTCCTTGTCAGATCAATAGCAGTATCTGAACAACTACGCACCAGCCCCTCCCCTAACCTAACTTTTATTTCAAGTTGTTATCGGTTGACTGTTGTTGGGTTAGGGGAGGGGTGGGTGAGGAGTTTCCCACAAATTGACACTCCTTATCAGTCAGTTAGCAAAGCGGTTCTCTCGTCTAGAAACTCGTAATTAGATTTTCTCAGGCAAAAAAATGCGCATATCTTCCTTTTGAGGAACAGCACAAGACGGGCCAGTTGTGACAGAAGTGCGAAAAGGAAAAGGACAGCAACTATCGCAGGAAATAAGCAAAGTAAGGTGATCAGGATCCACCGAAGCACCACCATAACATGCTTGTCGGGTCCCTCAGGCTCGGTGGCAGAAGAGGAAAGAGTGGCCGCTGTAAGGTTGATTACAGCTACACAGACCAACGTGATCAAAGACAACGCTCCGAGTTTGTCTGCAGTTGGGTGACGGAAGGGTTTCATGACGAGATGATGGACTAACATCAGATTACAGGCCACGGACAAGCAGACGAAGCAGATCATGGAATTTGGAATGAAGGCGCGGAATGTCAGAAGAACGAGCCGGCTGCCTATCAAAACACTTTCCCAGTAGAGAGTGCCGTTATCATTTTCACGTGGCGGGCGGTAGGGACCGTGCAATATCTTTGATATTTCATTGGTGCATTCATGGCGTACTTGAGTTTGTCTGCGGTACTGTCTATTGCATACACTTTTGAGGAGCCAGCGAACGAGAAACGGAAGGGGAACAATGCAAGCACCAACAAACTCTTTCCATGAAATGGCTTTGGCGTAGAGCAGACCAGAACCCCAATACAGAACGCCGACAAACGGGACCACA